GGACGCCGCCGCGCTCGTCCCCGCTGATCGGTTGTGTGTGTGTGTGTCTTTCAGAGCCGCCCCTCGCCACGCCAAAATGCACCGAACAACCAGAATCAAAATAACCGAGCTAAACCCCCATCTCATGTGCGTGCTGTGCGGCGGGTATTTCATTGATGCGACAACCATCATAGAGTGCCTCCACTCCTGTAAGTACGATCGGGCGCTCCGCGTTGTTCCTCCGCCGCTTCCCACCTTTCCCGGCATCCCGGGAACACAGGAAAAAAAAAGAAAATCCAAGCCCCAATCCCCCGAGGTGCTGGGCACCGCTGCCTCTCCGCCTCCCCGACCGGTTGGGAAATCGGTGGCCCGGCCGAGGCACAGTTTTTCTGACGACAGCTCTACGGTCTTTGTTAAAGTAATAATATATGTACTCTATGCCTCTCCTTTTCATGGTAATTGCAGCTTATTTGGGTATTTGTTTAGCTTAAGCAGCACGATGCTGAGAATGGACGATTTGCTCTAGCTTGCATAGTTTGGAAAATCGCACCTCTATCTGTGCATATCTGACCATCACTAAAAGGCTTTCGTGTTTTACTTACAGTCTGTAAGACCTGTATCGTGCGTTACTTGGAGACCAGCAAGTATTGTCCTATCTGTGATGTCCAAGTTCACAAAACTCGACCGCTTTTGAATATAAGGTAGGAGAAATACGCAATGCTCACCCCTCCATCTCTTACTTTACTTCCTATGAGGAGACCAGCAGTAGTCGTGTTGATGTTATCTCTTCTGCGATTTAAATCTGAAAGGACTTGTCAATTTACAAGCTAACTCGTGTGTATGCCCTCTCTTTGGAGTTTTGTCATTGATTTAAATTAAAGATTTCTCTGGAGATGAGACAGAAAGTTTTTGTTGGTCTTTTTTAGCATGTGACAACCACTGAAGCAATGGCTTTTCCCTGTCCCCCATTCTCATGATTACCTTCCCGACAGTTTTTACCTCCCCTTTCTGTGTCTCCCAGTCATGAAAACTCTTGCTGAAACTTTTCAGGCTAAAAGGGAAAAAGTCTTTACAGCATGCTTTCAGAATGAAATTTTCATTCTTTTCAGAAATATTTTTCTTGCCAGGGTTACTCTTTGCTCCCTTGATTTTTTAGGGAGGACATGTAGTTTTTAAGGCCTCCCTTCAGTCCAAAAGAATTCTTTTTCAGATAAATATATATAATTCACAGATGAATTTTGGTTTATAGCAGTATTTAAAGCAGTGTTAGTTGGATTACAAGGTTCTGTATTGTAAGGTAACTTTTTATGACTAGCCTCCCACTTTGTAGAAGTGCCTCATTGTTGTGAAAAATTATAAACGTGGAGCTGACACTTGGATTAAAATATCTCTTCATCTGCTTTAATTTTATGTTTTGGGGTTGTTTTTTTCCAGATCAGATAAAACTCTCCAAGATATTGTATACAAGCTAGTACCAGGCCTTTTCAAAAGTAAGTAGTTAAATTTGGTTTGTTTTGGTTTTTTGGTTTGTTTTGGTTTTTTTTCTCTGAAGAGTAGAAAAACAAAACTGGAATTGCTATCCCATATCAATACCAAGAGTTAGAGTATATATTAAAATATATGCTTTTCTGTCTAGATGAAATGAAAAGAAGAAGGGATTTTTATGCTGCTCATCCTTCGGCTGATGGTAAAAGCTTCTTGTTCACAACTTTAATAAAAGTACCATTGACCTAGATGCTTTACTGTTTCCTTTTTAACTTAGAAATTATGTATTACCATGACAGAATTTTAAGGAGTAAATTCTGCATAATAAAAGTTTATTGTTTTAACAGTTATGAAGCTTTAATTCATAATCTTGCTATGGAAATTTTTTTTCTTGTTATTGAGAATTGCCATTCTTCCTGATTTGAATTTCAAAATGTAAATTACTGTGGAAATTTCTGCGCAGCTGCCAATGGCTCTAATGAAGACAGGGGAGAAGTGGCTGACGAAGACAAAAGAATTATAACAGACGACGAGATAATAAGCTTATCCATTGAATTCTTTGACCAGAATAGGCAAGTTCCAGAATGGCAATATTTTATGTTTACCTGACTGATAGCGGCTATATTTATTATTTGTTGTAACTGTTTCATTTCTTCTCACAGACTGGAACGAAAAGGACATAAGGAGAAAGACAAATCAAAGGAAGAGGTAAATAACTTTTCCTTACTCTAGAGGAAACGTAACACACACAAAAAAAATACATGGGTATATGTATCTAGAGCAAAAGAAGCACACCTTCTGTTATGGCACTAAGTATGGAAGAGGTCAAACATCTTCATACAGCTGTATATGTAAACAACTTTTAAAAATAAAAAATACTTGCAGTGTTACTTTTAATGTGAAACCTAAATTTTTGTCAGATTTTGCAATAAATTATTAATTACTTTTTAAAAATCAAGATGTAATATTCTAAAAATATTTACCGTGAGATAAAATAATTTTAGTTGCATTTTAATTACTTATTCTGGATCTGTGATGTACCACTTATTTCTGTTGTTCCTTATAAGGCAGCAGTAATTGTTATAATTAATAAAATGCTTAAAAAAAAACCCAAACAAAAAACCCGTGAAATGTTATGGTGGGAGTGATTGCTTGTTCTCAGTAGACTGATTTTCTTTATTATGTCATCAGGTGAATGACAAAAGATACTTGCGCTGCCCAGCAGCAATGACAGTGATGCATCTAAGAAAGTTCCTGCGGAGTAAAATGGATATACCAAACACTTTCCAGGTACCTATGGGGAAATAATGATTTTTTTTTTTTTTTTAAATCAGTCTTGCTATTCTAACCCTGCTAATGCTGGTTATCACTCATTTTCTCATTGCAGCCAGTTCTAGCAAGTGCTAACTGACAAGTATTTCTGGTGTCTACAGTATGTTGATAGGGTTCTGAACATTATTTTCAAAATATCTTTCCAGAGAGTTTGGTGACGCTCTGTAGTATTTTAAAGCTGTAGATGTTGAGGTGTCAAGAAATTGCTCCTTAAGGTATTTAAAACATGTTGAATAGATATGAAAATTCCCTGCTTCCTGCTGCTTTTGTTACAGCATTTTTTCAATATTCTGATATATATGGCAGTGGGGTTACTTTCACCTTGGAGCAAACATACACTTAGGGGCAAATGCCTGGATGCTCCCTAATGCAAGTCTTCCTGTATTGAACAGATCGATGTGATGTATGAGGAGGAGCCTCTGAAGGACTACTACACCCTAATGGACATTGCCTACATCTATACCTGGAGGCGGGTGCGTATGGCCAGGGTGCCTCCCCCTGGGGGGTGTAGGTCATGGCCTGGGGAGGTTGCTTACCAGGGTCTCCCCTTTTGCCTTGCAGAACGGGCCTCTCCCCCTGAAGTACAGGGTCCGACCTACTTGCAAGAGGATGAAGATCAGTCACCAGAGGGAAGGCTTAAACAATAGCGGGGAGCTGGAAAGTGACTCTGGGAGCGACAAGGCGAGCAGCCCGGCAGGAGGCATCCCCTCCACCTCCTCCTGTTTGCCCAGCCCCAGCACGCCAGTCCAGTCTCCTCACCCCCAGTTCCCCCACATCTCCAGCACGATGAACGGCACCAGCAGCAGCCCCAGCAGCAACCATCAGTCCTCTTTTACCAACAGAGCACGGAAAACGTCGATAAATGGCTCCTCAGCCACTTCATCTGGTTGATGTGCCAAGCAGGCTACCGCTCCCACCCCTCCTTTATATAGATCTCTCCATGCCATTACAGCTTTATAGATGCTAATCCATGTGACTATCGTCCAAATTGCTTTCTTTTGTAGTGACATTGAACTTGGCGGACTAGGTGACATTCAGGATGGACGTTAATGGAAACGCAAGATTGAAATGTAAATTGTTTTCAGAGGACTAGGAAGCAAACAAGTTACACCTTCACCTGTTCCAAGTGATGCGGAGTTGTTTCCATCCTCATCATCTGGACTCGGGAATCTCCAGACGTGGATACAAATCCCAGGAAGTAGTTTGTTAATCCAGACTAACTCCTCATTGCGTTCTCTTTGATTGTTATTGTTCTTATGCTGTTTTGTGAACCTGTAGAAAGCAAGTGCTTTTTCATCTTGAAATCCAACAAAACGGAAAGAATATGCATAGAATAATGCATATATGTAGCCATGTCACTGTGAATAACAATTTTTTGCGTATTAGCCATTTTGATTCTTATGTTGCATCTTTTACTTCTCTGTTGCTGTGCGGAACTGATCAAAAGAAAACTTCAGTTTTACAATCTGTATGCCTAAAAGCGGGTATTACCGTTTTATTTACTGACTTGTTTAAATGATTCGCTTTTGTAAGAATCAGATGGCATTATGCTTATTGTACAATGCCATATTGGTATATGACATAACAGGAAACAGTATTGTATGATATATTTATAAATACTATAAAGAAAATATTGTGTTTCATGCACTCATGATATGGTTGTTAAATTTCTAAAGTGGTTCGACCCTTGCAGATGCCGCCTGTTTGAGCTTTGCTCGTACTGCAAGAAACACTTTGTGTGTGAGAGCTACAGTATTGGGAAAGCACATCCAAGTCTCTGATAACCTGGAGGCAATTGGCAATCTTAAGAGGATTTTACTGTTTTTGTCTTTTTTTCCAAGTGATATATTTTTACTTTACCAAATGTTGAAGTGATGTAGTGAAGAAGGAAAAAAAAAAAGTTAAGGGATATGGAAGTCTTTGACCTGTTTGATTACCTTTTTATTATTTGGTGTGGTGGGAGTGTGTTTCTAAAAGCACATGGGATCATTATAGAAGCCATAAACTATTTGGTATAAATTTTAAGGAACCAGCAAGTTGCTGGATGAAGGCATTTTATCTAAATTTGTTTTAATATATATGTATATGGTACAGTACTAACCTCATTAAAATTTAACAGGTACTTTAATATTTCCAATAAATTGTGGAGAATGCCTCCTCTTTAATGGCCTGCAAATAGGTGCATTTTATTAGAGGCTTCTAAGGGTATTATTTTTTCAGTAGAAGAAACTTTTCCACCATAAAATATGAACAGCCCAGAACACTTTTAAGTTTGTGCTTTGCTTTGGTCGAACTTCGTGTGTGTTCATCACCCATCAGTTATACATTTGTGAGGGTGTTTATTCTATATGGATATTGTTTCATGTTTGTACGGGAAAATTGTAGTTAAACATTTCATTGTCTCCAGTCTGCAAAAGAAGCACAATTCTATTGCTTTGTCTTGCTTATAGTCATTAAATCATTACTTTTGCATATAAATTGCTGTTATTTGTCCTGCTTGTTTTTATAGACCAGGTGATTGCAAATCCTCCACAAGGTTATTGCTTATTGATGTATAATGTCTTGTTAAACAAGAGTTGATATTTTTTTTCCTGTAGTAAACATGTACAGTTCAATTTCAACAGTAAAAACTTCAGTTTTATATACACGAATAACTTTCATTTATAGCTGATCAAAGAAATAAATAAAAGGGATAATTCATTGAAAAATAGCAGATGACCTTTGTTGATAATGTGGTGTTAAAGGACAAACATCTTGTTCTCATTGGAAGTCTTTCTGGGTGTACAAAAGACTTGAGTACTAAAATAACAGAAAAAAAACCGCCTAGAACTCGCTGTGATTTGTTTTGTTTTATGCCTGCCTCAAAAGCATTTGCTGTTCTTTATTTAACCCCGAATTATTCTTTAAAACAAGCAAATGGTGCATTCTCACATCCCAGTCAGGCACAGGTTTTTACTTTTTTACTCAGACTTAAACCAACGTTTAACTGCCCCGACTGGGAAGGGAAAACCAGGATTTTTGTGATGGCGAGTGCCAGGTTCCGCCTGTGCTGCTCTGGGTTACTTTTTAAAGCCTCAGTGGAACCAAACACGTTTTAATGTAAGGACAGTTCTCCATCCGAAGTTGTGTCTATCTCGGCACGATTCCCTCGACTGTATGGGTTAATCACACTGTGCTGTTTGAATTAATACACCCGAAAACCAGCACTGACCCTGCAGCAGAGGCTTGTGCTCTAGCTCACTGATCAAATCGCACTTATTTATAGTGGAACTAGCTGATAATGACAACTTTTAGCACGAAAACAGAGCTATTCTCGGTCTTAGTAGTGTGTCCGTGAAGCAGAGAGCAATGAGCCAGGACTTGGATAATTCCCTTCGAGGTTTATTAAGCTCTCACTGTACTTTTCAACATCTCCCAATCTAACATCTCCCGCCTGAGAAGGAACAAACGTTGTCCGCGGCTCTTGTCGAGCTGCGGAAGCCGCCGCGGATGTTTGCGCTGCCGCGTGAAACTTTTGTTTTGCTGCTGGCCCTGAGCAGATGGCACTGCGGTGCATGCATATTGCTGAGCACAATTGGGAGGACAAGCAAAGACAGCACCTTGAAGTTCTACTTGGAAAGCTGCTGTGTCAACCTCTCCGGTTTCACAATCTTTTTCTTTGCTGTCATATAACGGGTTTCCTTACAAATGTATGTAAATCATCCCTATTTGGGAAGAAATCTCAGCTCGATACATGTAAGAATAATCTTTGCATTAACCGACGTCACGTTTTTTATAGATCGAGGGATAAAGCCGAAGTCTGCTGCATTTCTCTGAGTTTGATCAACAAGCAATCTGATCAAAGGCAGAGGCAGGAGCGGGCGGTCTGTGCCCGCTGGAAAATTGTGGTTTTCTGTTTTCGTCCGACCAAATTTTCCGCCCTGGTTCAGCTGCCTGCAGCTCCAAGCAGCGCTTTTGTGCTCAGTCAGGATGGGGACAGGCGGTAACGATCCAGCCCCGAGGAAGGCGAGGGAGAGGGAGCATAAAGAGCTCCACAGGCTTTTGGAGAGGACAGGCGGCAGCGGGGAGAAGGGGCGCAGGAATGTGCAGAAAGAGAGAGGACCACGACGAGCTCTATACACCGAGCCCGCTACGCCGAGCCGCTTGTCTTCCATCAGCGAGCATTGCTCAGGACAACCTGCTCTGCCGCCTTTCAGCAGGGCCAGCGCCGGCGGGCGGGCTCCACCGAGGAACTGCCGAAAACCGGGAGGGCGCCGCGGGCAGGGGGGGAGGGCCCCGGCGGGCTTCCGGCCGGGG